GATGGCCCCACCCTACTCTCCCTGACCACCTCCGATTAGGGCGGGGGGGGAACATGATAGGTAGCTATGCATGCAGGGGTCACCTGTATAGGCTTAGGAGTAGTGGTAGGCAGATAATTTCCTCATGAGAAGCGGAAAGGGGGCCCATCAGGATACCCTGATTGAGAGAAGAATATGGGCCTGGCTGCACTACTCTCCAAATGTGCAAAATGAGACTGAATCCACAGCTAGAACATGGAAAGATACATTGCCATCTTTTTGTCGTTTGTGCATGTGGAGAGTAGTGTGGAGAGTAGTGCAGCGAGGCCCTGAAATGTGAAACATGCGGACTGGGAGCGCCAGCCACCACGCAGGGCGGGGGAGCGCAGTCACCGCTCAGGGCGCGGGAGCGCAGTCACTGCGCCCTGCGCGAGGGAGGAGCAGGACAGGCGAGGTGGCACTTTTCTCACTGGCACTTGTCTCAGGGCCTGGTCGCACTACTCGCCATCCGCCCACATTTTCATTGCATGTGGACATCCGTTTTGTCCAGATGCATTCCAAATCTTGGCGGATGGCGAGTAGTGCAACCAGGGCCTCACTCCTCCGGTCTCCACCGACATCCATCTACCGCAGTGGACTCTGGGCCTCGCCACACCACTCTCTATGCAGATACAATATTGGCCATTAGACACCGCCATGTGGGGTTTGGGGGGGGGTAGGGGGAGGTGCCGCCGATTTTCCCCATCGGCAATGCCTGCCCACCCCTCGTCACCGTGATGAGGGACTGGTACAGCCTTGCTCTCTCACCACTGCTGTGGTGCCCCGTGGGCTGGGGAGAGATCCGGGTTGGTTGGTGTTCCCCCGTACTACATATACACTAGTGAGAGGAATCCAGATACTGATATTTTGAAGTGGGTGCAGCGCGACCGGGAGCGCTGCGCCCTGCCGGTCTCGTCGTCGGGCCACGGAAAAGCGGGCAGGCGCGGAGCGACGAAGATGCAGCAGCGCCCGGAGAAGTGCGAAGGTAGAGGATATGACGCATGGTGATGACGGGTGATAGGGAACAGCTGTGAGCGGTGAGGCGCGGCATGGCATCCATGAGAGACGGGGAGTAGCAGAGAGTGGAGAGGGGTAAGGGAAGAGGGTGGAGAGGTGCGGAGGTAGAGGATACGACGCATGGTGACGATCGGTGATAGGGTTCAACGGCGAGGGGAGCGGCGCGGTGCAAGGCAACGATGAGTGACGGTCGGGTGTTGCTGCAGACTCTACTGTTTGCTTTTCCTGTTTTAGGCTCAGTAGTTTGCGTGGATGAATTTCAGCACGGTCTTATTGGAGAGGAGGAATAGATCAGGGGAAGAGGTTCATAAGAAGGAGTGGGGGGTGGGCGACGTCGGCGATGATGATACCCCTTCATCTCTTCAGGCTACCTGCGAGAGGCGGCTGGCAGGCTCAGCCGTATCTGGCTCGTGACGCGGTTTTGAAACACTACGGGCTGCGGTCCCGATTATCTTCATCGTTCGTTTTTTTTTTATGGTTGAATATGCGTCAACCACAGGTGGTCGAGTTGCTGGAAAACCGATGAAGGAGGAGGTGAGGTCTGAAGAGAGGGGGGTGCTTTTAGGGACGTTGAACTTGAAGGTATGTTGTGTTCTTCCTCTTCATTTTGTTGTGCTGATTCTGTCATAACTTTGATTAGAGTCTTGACGAGATGATTCTCAGTTATCGTGTCTGGTTTGATACCTATTAGTCTTCTAATCTTGAAGTCTAGATCCTGATTTCGGATTTGGTTGTGTCACGAGGGTTGTATTACCTGTTTTGTTTTCCTGCGTCGCTAATTTTGATGGTTATCCAAACGATGTTATCGGTTTGCTTTTCTAAGCTATAAGCTTAGATATTCTTATGAAGAGGTTCTTCTGATTGGCATTTCCTGAATTACGGTCTGACTTATGTCTTGGACTTTGGGTTCTGGAAGTCTGAGTCGAAAGTCCGCTTGGACAACAAAATTGATTCTCTACTGTGTTTTTCCTACTTGGATTTTCCAAACGTATCAAATCGTATACCAAATCGTATTCTCATTTTAATTTTCGGTTTTGATGCTTAAAGTTCAAGATTCAATTCCTCTTAGTCTCCATCTTATTCGTTATCCCAATGGGTTTTCTGATGTCGATGCTAAGTAATTTTCATCTAGTAATTAGTCTTAGTAATTTGAGGTCTCAGTCTGTGATGTTGTTAGATCCATAATACTGTGCGGTTAAATTTGATTCGGATTGGCTTGTTAATTCCAATTGCCTGGTCTTGAGGGGTGTAATTGTGGCTTGTTGTATATACCTGTGGTGTCTTCCTTGAGGGTTGGAGCCTCCCCCCGTGAGGGTTTCACAAGGTGGGAGGTGTTATTCTTGGAGGGGGGAGGCAGTATTGGGGGATTGTTTTCTCTTAGCCAGACTGATTTAGGGTCGGATCAGTACTAGCGGGTGGGGAGAGAAGGCAAGGGGGTGGCTGCTTATAGCAGTGTGAATATTTTATGAGGGAAGGAGTGATTTCCAGGGCCACACAGTGAGCCGAAGGGGGGGGGACGCTAGGGTTGAAGGGGGGAAGGTAGCAAGGGGACCTTCAACAAAAAAGGTTGTTCGTTTCGGTAAGTAGGTCAGAAGGACGAGGCTGGGACGACATAGTCTAGTGCTGGAGCCGTTGCTCGGTAACCCAGGGGGAGCTCGAGGCCTGTGAAGTATGTCGGGGGTGGAAGGCATAACCAGATCGTCCGACATAGTTGGCGCTGGGGTATTGACCCTGTAACCTGCTTAAGGGCTTGCCGCTACGGGGCTTGTCGAGGGAGGAAGGCACTTCCTGTCCGTCAGAACTAGGTTGATCGGTACTGGGGAGGGTTGTGGTGCCCTGTTACCCTAGCAGAGGGGGGTAGGACATCAAGTGAGTTCTGGTACGAGGTCTGAAAGCCTGGACCGACGCTCCATCTGTTGGAAGGGGGAATTTAGGACAATAGACAGTTTCAGTTTTGCTCCCCCCGTTCATATACTCTTTAAAAATACTTTTTGAATGTCCTAAAGAGATTTGGGTGTTTAGTGGTCCTAGGATGTTTTTTAGGACTTAGGAATCCCTACCAACTTTTCTTACGTAGCGTCAATGTTGTTATACTCAGAGATCTGCGGTTGTTCGATGCCAGAACGACGCTGACCGGAGCTGTGGTGTTGTCCTGTAACCTGTGATGCAGGAGCGTGAGGTCTGGTAGAGAGATCTGGGGAGGTCTTGGGCGGGCTTTCCACAGGACAACCGAGGGTTGCTGCCGGGACGATGCTGGTCGGAGCTGGGGTGAGTTGCGTTGCCCTGTAACCCAGCAGAAAGTGGGGGTGTGAGACCTGGAAGAGAGCGGCAGAGTGTTTGACGGCTTTGGAGAACGTTGGAAGGGTTTGTGGGGGTTTTCAAGTGTGGGAGAAGATGGTGGGTTATCACGCGTCCTACCAGTAAGGGGGCTAGCTGGTAGGATGGAAGTATGGCATAGCAGCAGTAGAGATGGTGGCTCCGCTGCAATCAGTCTTGCTGGAGTGAGGCAAAGCGGATCGATGGGGCTTCCTTCGAGGCGTTTCTGAATCTCTGCTTAATCATGAAGTTGTCATAGACATGTTTGAAGTAGTTCCAATTGTTCCGAGTTTAAGCCGGGTAATGGTCCCGGTATCTTAATTTTTCAAATTCCATCCTTAGGCCAATAAAATTAAAAAAGAAGAGAATAAGGAGAGTGGGAGAAGATGGTGGGTTATCACGTGTCCTACCAGTGAGGGGGCTAGCTGGTAGGACGGGAGTATGGTATAGCAGCAGCAGAAATGGTGGCTCCGCTGCAGTCAATCTAGCTAGAGGGAGGTAAAGCGGATTGATGGGGGTTCTTCTGAGTCGTTTTGAAACATGAAGTTGTAATAGAAGTAGCTCTAATTCTCTGAGCCAAAGCCGGGTGATGGCCCCTATATCTCAATTTTCAATTTATATTTTTAGGCCAATTGGACTCTTCTAGTACGTTCCTAGCCTCATTTTCATGAAATTTTCTGACGAGTTTTTTGAATGTACTCGTTATGGGACGCTGGGCCCGGTTCCCAGTTCGTGCCAATTTGTGAGGATATGGTTGTATCTATGGGACGTTGGACCCGGTTTCCAGCAGGTGTTGCTCCCCACCAATAGATGGAGCTTTGTTTTTTATAAAAAAAAAAAAAAAAAAAAAAAAAAAAAAAAAATTTTTTTTTTTTTTTTTTTTTTTTTTTTAATTTTTTTTTTTTTTTTTTTTTTTTTTTTTTTTTTTTTTTTTTTTTTTTGGATCTGGCCATGTTCTAGCGGGAAGTTCGTTCCC